GCCACATACTCCTGAAGATTTCCCCTGTGCCATCTAATCCTTCATCAGTGAATATTATCTCTGCCCATGTTTTAAAAAAATTGCTGGGGCAGGAAAGGTAGTTAGTTGGCAGTCTAAGCACCCGCCTGGCAAGCACAAGGACCTGGGTTTGATTCCCTGTACCACATGCCCTGCCAGCCCTGTGCTGTGCCAGCCCCTGAAATCGAGTGTGGTGCTGTATGCCTGTAACCAGCACTGGGAAGGCTGAGACAGGAGGATCACTAGCAGTCCAAGCTGCATAGCGAGACCCTGTACCAAATACAGAAATCTTTAATTTTAATTTTTATTTGTACTGGGAATCAAACTCAGACCTCAACTTGCTTACTTAAAAGAATACTTAAGGCCAGGAATATACTCAGCAGCACAAAGACTGCCTGACATATGCCAGGTCCTAAGTTGGATTCCAAGTACAAAAAAAAATTAAAGATTTATGTAATCTCAGCACTGGGGAGGCTGGAAACAGGAGGATCACTAGGAGTCTGAGCTGCATAGTGAGACCTTGTACCAAATACATTAAAAACAAAAATTTCAACTAGTTAGGCATGGTGGTACACATCTATAATGCCAGCACTTGGGAGGCTGAGGCAGGAGGATCCTTGCAAGTTCAAGGCCAGCTTGGGCTACAAAGTGAACTGCATAATGAAATCTGTCTCAAAAAAACCAAAAACAAGGGCTGCTGAGATAGCTCAACGGTCTAAAGCGCCTGCTTAGGCAAAGTGCAGGGACCACAGTTTTGTTTTTTTTTTTTTTTTTTTTTTTGGTGGAACTGGGGATTGAACTCAAGTCCTTGCGCTTGCCAGGGAAGCGCTTATTCCACTGAGCCATCTCCCCGGCCCCCAGGGACCACAGTTTGATCCCCAGCACCAACCACATGCTACACCAGGCTGCCCACAAAAAAAAAAAAAAAAAAAAAAACCCTACCTGGCACATGGCACATGCCTGATAGCCCAGCACTCTAGGAGGCGGAGGCAGGACCCTAAGATTGAGTTCAACCTAGAAAATTAGTGACTTTGGGAGACACTGTCTCAAAATAACAAAAAAAGGGCGGGGGGGCTTCCCAGCACTAGGGAGGCTTAAGCAGAGCAATCACTGAGTTTGAGAGGAGCCTGGAGCCTGCGCTACAAAGTGAGTTTAAGGCCAGCCTGAACTGTATAGTGAGACCATGTATTAAAAAAAAAAAAAAGACTAGTGTAGGTAACAGAGTGAGACTCTGTCTCCCCCTCTAAACATATCATTATATATAGCAAAAGATGTTTCCCCAGCCAGCTACGTCAGTTTCTTTGTTGCCCAGGTAACAGTTCCAATTCCAGTTGCGTCTTTCTCTTAGGAACAGCTGGCTACTCTGATGCGTTGCTGGCCACTGTGATGCGCATTGTGAGAACCAACCAACCGCCACTGGACAAGCCATTCCACCTCTGTACTTCCTGCCTGCTTATCCTGTCTAAGCCCGAGGCCACCAGAGATCAGGGCCTAACGTCTTGGCAGTGGTCTTGATCAGAGCCTGTGGACGTCAGTGTCTTGCATGCTAGGTAAGCATTCTACCTCTGTCCTGCATCCTCAGCCCAGAAGATGTAAAATACACCACCTCCAAATCCTGAGTGTCGTTTCTTTGTTTCTGCTTGCCACTGCCCTGGTAGGCTGTGAAGTCTAAGTGGGTTCCCAGCCCCCGCCTTCTGCAGCTTCCATCATGGTGGTCATCAGTAGCTACTGGCCAGCAGCTCCCCTGGTGCCATCCTTGGATGGCTTTGTAGTGGAGTGATTTAGTTTTTTGTCTTTTTTTTTTTTTTTCAGAACTGGGGATTGAACTCATGCCCTTGTGCTTGCCATGCAAGTGCTTATTATACTGAGCCATCTCCCCAGCCTGTTTTTTTCTTTTTGAGACAAGGCCTCACTCTGCAGTTCAGGCTGGCCTAGAGCTCACTTTTTAGCCAAGGCTGGTCTCAAACACAGTGATCCTCCTGCTTCAGCCTCCCAAGTGCTGGGATTACAGGCTTGTGCCACCAGCAGTGAAGTGACTCTTGTAATGAATAATTTTCCCTGGCACCTTTGAGGGAAAAATCTCCAAAAAGTCCCAGCACAGTGGGCTCAGGACATAGGACAAAGGCAGGATGCTTGCCTAGCATGCAAGAAGCCCTCCCTTTGAGCACCAGCACCAAAAAAAAAAAAAAAAAAAAAAAAAAAAAAAAAAACCACCCTTCTTGCAATGCCTTCCTAGCCAGTTTACTGACAAACCTTAATATAACACCAACTGGCAAAGAAGTATTTAAAGGGCTTAGATCTATTTTCACTAAGTGGAGGAAATTAAATTTAAGGGCTAGGGCTATAGCTGAGTGGTAGAGCACTTGCCTAGCATGAGAGGGTTGGCTAGGAATTGTTGAAATGGAAATCCCAGAAAGAACAAAAGTATGCAAAAAAGGGGAGGACAGGGGAGATGGCTCAGTAGTATAAGCGCTTCCCTGGCAAGCGCAAGGGCCTGAGTTCAATCCCCAGTTCCGCTAAAAACAAAACAAGGGGCCGGGGAGATAGCTCAGTAGAATAAGCGCTTGCCTGGCAAGTGCAAGGGCCCGAGTTCAATCCCCGGTTCCGGAAAAAAAAAAAAGTAAATTTTGTGCCTCTGAGGGTTTACCCTCTTCACCCAGGGCTAAAGGCCACACCTGTCACAGTCTACCCAGCATAGTGGCACATGCTTGTAATCTTAGCACTTGGGAGGCTAAGGCAGGACTGCTAGAGGTTTGAGGGCAGCCTTGCCTACATAGTGAGATCCTGTCTAAAAACAAACAAGCAAAACTGGGGGGAGCATCTGAAGCTGGAGATCAATCACGTGTGGGGCTACAGCAAGGCCAGCCCCAAGAACATGGAGCTCCCAAGGGGAGCCACGTGAGGGAAGCCACGTGAACAAGCAGTTCCAGTTCCAAGAACGTGAGGTCCCGAGGCAAGCCAGACAAGTTGTTAGGCAGCGGGATTTCAACGGACACCCCAACCCCACCCATCCCCCACCCCACCCCCCAGTGTATAAATACAGGCCATGCAGTCCTTTGGTGGTTCTTTTTACCCCCACCTGGAGAGGAGGCTCCACCTGACCTCAGCTTTCTGCACTCTGACTCCTCTCTGCATTTCTTCATCTACCACCACCACCCCCACCCAGTGAATTCCAGAGCTGTGGCCCCTCACACTGTTTTCTGGGCTGCGGAAGCCTACCCCGGGGCCTGGGAAGGATTTGTGTGTTTAGACTCTCACTGCTTTAAGGTTGAGATTATTGTGCTCTCCAAGCACTCCCACCTAAATAAAGCATCACCACGCTCCAAGGAACCTTGAGGCACCACACTGCCAACCCTGATCCAGGGGGGCAGAAAGCACCGCTAGCTGGAAAAGCTGCTACCTGTTCCTACCAGACGTCTCACAGAGGCCTCTTACCACAGGGACATTGTGGTTCTTGGTGTTTTTCTATCTAGAAAGTCCTTAGGGACATGGATGGGAAACTGTGAGAGAGACAGAGACAGAGAGAGACAGCCTGGGGAAATAGCTCAACTGCATAAGTGCCTTCCTGGCAAGCACAAGGTCCCAAGTTCAATCCCCAGGACCAAGAAAAAAATGAAAAGTCTCTTCACCCTGACTTAAAAAATAAATTAAAAAAAATATA